GACAGTACAAAGAGGGATAACTCCATATGTTCACCTTAACTGGTCCGAGTACACAGTTATTTCGTAGTGCATTTCTTTTAGACAATAAATGAAAATTAAAAAAATCCCACCTGCGCTTTCTCAATAATATTTTCACAGTGTGTTGTACTACTTTTGGGACAAATTATATCAAAATTATAGAAAACTTCATCGGCTCTAACTCAAATATGGACAATTTTATGTTAAGGGGGTCTTCAAATCTTTTGACAGCTTCCGAAGTGCTAATTTTTAACATTTTTCAGCTGGACCAAATCACTACTTTACTTTAAAATTCATGACCCAAATTTTTTTACAGTGTCATTTCACCCCCCTACTTGCTATTTGAGTCATAAAACATGGAGAAATAAATTTGGAAGGGGTATAAAAAAAATTAGCAAGTAACACACTGTCCACACTAGGGACTATATTTGTGGACAACGAAAATCAAAGGACGATAACTGTGTACCCGGACCTAATAGGGTAGAATAAGTTGACCAATCTTAATGAAACTTGGTATGACCAAAGCTTAATAAATTATAAGACTGCTTACAAAGTTTCATGGCAATAGGATATATATTATAGACAATATGACTAATTCTATATTCAACTTTGTGTGTTAAATTTAGACGTTAAAATTGAAAAATTTCAACTATCAACATTTGGGGCTTAAAAAATTTAAATATTGCAAAAAAATACTTTTGAAATGCCTTAATATATAATATATTATGTATTAAAAGCAATAGAGTACTCATTTGATTTATCAGACTTAACATAATTATTAAAAAGTTAAATTTATATGAGCCTGTGCCTAAAAATGGAGGTTTTCCAATGAATGGGGGCCTTACATGAAGATGTAATATTTTCCAGCAATTTTAAGTTTGTAAAGCTTTTTGGTTATAAATAATCCTTACATATGTATTTAATGTACTTTAAATAAAAAGAAAACTTACAAATAACATATCATATTAGTTTAAAAGGGTCTAAGGCCAAGTAAGACTGAAAATAATTTAGGGTCAATTTAGGCCGTAGCACATATTTACATTTAAAAATGCATATTGAAGCTATAGGAAATAAAAATTTGTGTCTTTTCTATCATTTCTATACTCAGGTGACATGATACAATAAATCTGAGCACAAAAAGACTCTTGCATTCAACTTTTTTTGCAGACAGTATGGTCTGATACAAAGATTTTTCATTTTTTAGTGAAAAACATGCATGCAATTTTAGTCTCAACAGGCTTTTATTTGAACCACTTGCTATCCTACAGAAGAAAAGAAAGATATTATGTGACATGAAACAGCTACAAAAGACATTGTTAAGTGCTTTTTATACAAATTTAGTGAGGTCTTTATTATGGACTTCAACTTTTATGTTCCAAGCTCCTCACATTTAACTTGATCCAAACAGGGCGTTAAACGAGGGTCATATATACAACACATTTTGCACATATTGTATGAGATAATCTTCTTTTCTATAGATTCAGAGTTCACAAATGAGTAATACAACTGGATTGAAGCATAGAAACACAAATATTGACACATAAAAACCTGTCAGATAGAAAGTTAGAATGCCACTTATGCATCAAAATTGAAAAAGCTATGAAATGCTTATTTTGACCATAAAATACGCAAATTGGTCATTTTTGCAGAAATTCTATGAAATAAAAGTTTAAATACTTTAGTTTTATGCTATTTGACAAATTGACACCATCAAATCATTCGGGGAAGTTGCAAATGTACAGATTCCATTTTTCATGATTTCACCTCTTAGGGTAGAAAAAGTTGACCAATCTTAATGAAACTTGGTATGACCAAAGCTTAATAAATTATAAGACTGCTTACAAAGTGTCATGGCAATAGGATATATATTATAGACAATATGACTAATTCTATATTCAACTTTGTGTGTTAAATTTAGACGTTAAAATTGAAAAATTTCAACTATCAACATTTGGGGCTTAAAAAATTTAAATATTGCAAAAAAATACTTTTGAAATGCCTTAATATATAATATATTATGTATTAAAAGCAATAGAGTACTCATTTGATTTATCAGACTTAACATAATTATAAAAAAGTTAAATTTATATGAGCCTGTGCCTAAAAATGGAGGTTTTCCAATGAATGGGGGCCTTACATGAAGATGTAATATTTTCCAGCAATTTTAAGTTTGTAAAGCTTTTTGGTTATAAATAATCCTTACATATGTATTTAATGTACTTTAAACAGTCAGGGGTACTACTTAAACAAGTGATTTCAGAATCACTTCCTCGAGTGATTTTGGCTGTGAAATATTAAAAATTTTCACACAGACTTTTTAAAATCACTGAAACAAGTAATTTTAGAAGTTAAAATGTAATCACTTTAATAAGTGTTTATAACATTTTCTTGATATTTTTCCCACAAGCTTGATTTTTTTATTGGTAAAAAGACAACATTTCCATTGAAAAAACAACTATGTACATGCAGAAATTGTCTTTTACTTGATAAGCCTGACACTTTTACAGTTTTTTTAAAATATGCAAAAACTGGAATAGTTTGTAGATCAGGTCATAACCTTGAAGTAGATCATTCTAACTCTAAAGAAAACCAATCAGGTTACCTAATATTGTTGATCTTTGTCTGATAGTAAGAGTAGTTAATGAATTTTTGATTACAGAAAAATTCCCAAGGGTACTTTTAAAAGCTTTAGCGCACTAACTTACTGACCAAGCGCACTGGTGAAATTAATATACAAAGAAAAAGGGATAATTGATTTATGTAGGAAAATTATAGAAAAGATTGTGAAAATATGGAAAATCAATGAAATTAGCATTTGAAGATCAAAGAAAACACTAAAATCACTTAAATAGGTGATAACTGAATTTATCAAATCACTGAAATAAGTGATGATGAAATCACTTGTTTAAGTAGCACCCCTGACTGTTAAATAAAAAGAAAACTTACAAATAACATATCATATTAGTTTAAAAGGGTCTAAGGCCAAGTAAGACTGAAAATAATTTAGGGTCAATTTAGGCCGTAGCACATATTTACATTTAAAAATGCAAATTGAAGCTATAGGAAATAAAAATTTGTGTCTTTTCTATCATTTCTATACTCAGGTGACATGATACAATAAATCTGAGCACAAAAAGACTCTTGCATTCAACTTTTTTTGCAGACAGTATGGTCTGATACAAAGATTTTTCATTTTTTAGTGAAAAACATGCATGCAATTTTAGTCTCAACAGGCTTTTATTTGAACCACTTGCTATCCTACAGAAGAAAAGAAAGATATTATGTGACATGAAACAGCTACAAAAGACATTGTTAAGTGCTTTTTATACAAATTTAGTGAGGTCTTTATTATGGACTTCAACTTTTATGTTCCAAGCTCCTCACATTTAACTTGATCCAAACAGGGCGTTAAACGAGGGTCATATATACAACACATTTTGCACATATTGTATGAGATAATCTTCTTTTCTATAGATTCAGAGTTCACAAATGAGTAATACAACTGGATTGAAGCATAGAAACACAAATATTGACACATAAAAACCTGTCAGATAGAAAGTTAGAATGCCACTTATGCATCAAAATTGAAAAAGCTATGAAATGCTTATTTTGACCATAAAATACGCAAATTGGTCATTTTTGCAGAAATTCTATGAAATAAAAGTTTAAATACTTTAGTTTTATGCTATTTGACAAATTGACACCATCAAATCATTCGGGGAAGTTGCAAAAGTACAGATTCCATTTTTCATGATTTCACCTCTTAGGGTAGAAAAAGTTGACCAATCTTAATGAAACTTGGTATGACCAAAGCTTAATAAATTATAAGACTGCTTACAAAGTTTCATGGCAATAGGATATATATTATAGACAATATGACTAATTCTATATTCAACTTTGTGTGTTAAATTTAGACGTTAAAATTGAAAAATTTCAACTATCAACATTTGGGGCTTAAAAAATTTAAATATTGCAAAAAAATACTTTTGAAATGCCTTAATATATAATATATTATGTATTAAAAGCAATAGAGTACTCATTTGATTTATCAGACTTAACATAATTATTAAAAAGTTAAATTTATATGAGCCTGTGCCTAAAAATGGAGGTTTTCCAATGAATGGGGGCCTTACATGAAGATGTAATATTTTCCAGCAATTTTAAGTTTGTAAAGCTTTTTGGTTATAAATAATCCTTACATATGTATTTAATGTACTTTAAATAAAAAGAAAACTTACAAATAACATATCATATTAGTTTAAAAGGGTCTAAGGCCAAGTAAGACTTGCTATGAATGAATTTTCAAAGGATTTTATGCCAAATTATGGTCATATGAATCAGAATTCGTACTATGCATGCTTTTTCAATGGAAATTGTGACGTCACAATGCATTCTTAATAGCACGAAAACCCATGAGACGAGGATAATCATGGTTGTTGTTGTTTCCAGCTCAGACTAGTTTAGTTCGGTGTGAGCCAAGGCTCAGTGTTGAAGGCCGTGCTCTGACCTACTAATTGTTTACTTTTTACACATTGTGACTTGGATGGAGGGTTGTCTCATTGTCACTCATACCACATCTTCTTATTTCTATATAGTTTAATAGCTAAATGTCCTACTTTAAACCATAGGCATAGCTCATGGTGGTGCTCCTAATGAAAGGAGGCTTATACGTAGCATACATACATGTACCATAGCCCAAATTTTAAGTCAAATTCCTCTTTCATTTTTTGCTAATAATGCCTGTAAATAATGCAAAAGAAACTGAAAATTACATTTCTTAAACCTTACTAAATATCTGTACTTTGGCAGTGCTGACATTTTGATTTGTTTAGATTTCACACTCCCGCGGTAATTTCATTTTTTTTTACCGGAAGTGTACAGTTATAGTTCTTGGAATCTTGGACATTATGACGCAAGATAAGCATTTTGATTGGTTTGCGAATATTTGTTTTATCCAATGAAACGAAGATACACAATATACAAATTTCAAAGATTGATGTCGGATTTGTTTACAACACGAAAAATATATTGAGTAAAACAAAAAGACATTACGAGTGCAGTACTATGAAATTTTATCAGTAACTAACCTTAGGCTTCTCAAGAATATACATTTTGTGATTGTTTTCTGTAGAAATTGTGAACAGAAAAATGAATACGAGGAAACAGAAGCACCAAACAGGCTTTGATGTAAAAAAATCAAAAGCAGCTGTTTCTCAGGTAAACTTCTTCTTCTGCACAACGCTATCTCTATCCCTGATAGTAGGCAGAAATATGTATTAGATAGACCTTGAGGGCTTTAGCTAATTTGCACCAAGATATTGTCAATGCAGAAATGATAGTTTTCAATAATTTAGCCTTTAGGAGGGGATCTTCCTGGAATCCAGGTCCGTTCGTCACCTTTGCTCCCATTCATGTCCACCCCCTTTCATGTTCACACCCTACACTTTCAGTCCCTATGCCCCCGCAAAAAAAAGTTGGGGGGAATATTGTTTCCCCCTGTTCATCCGTCTGTCCGTTCGTCCCGTTATGCATGTTATGGGTATAGAGTAAAGGAGTTACAATGTATGTGGAATAACTCAGAGTTATTCGGAACTTATTCCACATACATTGTAACTCCTCCTACAGTTTGAATGCTAGGAAGTTTTCACTTTGCTGGCTGTTTGTACATATATTGAAGGTGTGCATGTGGTCAGGGTTTTGATTTTTATTAATATTTGCTCTTTTGGGAGATACATGTAGTTGAACTTTGTCATTTTTAGAGTATAAGAGATGCATAACCTTATAGTTATACCGCATAACTCCCCCTACAGTTTGAATGCTAGGAAGTTTTCACTTTGCTGGCTGTTTGTACATATATTGAAGGTGTGCATGTGGACAAGGTTTTGATTTTTATTGTCGAGCCTGCGACTTTTGTCGCAGAAAGCTCGACATAGGGATAGCGATCCGGCGGCGGCTACGGCGGCGGCGTTAGCTAACTTCTTAAAAGCTTTATATTTTAGAAGGTGGAAGGTCTGGATGCTTCATACTTTGTATATGGATGCCTCATGTTACGAAGTTTCTGTCAGTCACATGTCCAATGTCCTTGACCTCATTTTCATGGTTCAGTGACTACTTGAAAAAAAAGTTCAGATTTTTTGTAATGTTAGATTCTCTCTTATTATAAGTAATAAGATAACTATATTTGGTATGTGCGTACCTTGCAAGGTCCTCATGCCCGTCAGACAGTTTTCACTTGACCTCGACCTCATTTCATGGATCAGTGAACAAGGTTAAGTTTTGGTGGTCAAGTCCATATCTCAGATACTATAAGCAATAGGTCTAGTATATTCGGTGTATGGAAGGACTGTAAGGTGTACATGTCCAACTGGCAGGTGTCATCTGACCTTGACCTCATTTTCATGGTTCAGTGGTTATAGTTAAGTTTTTGTGTTTTGGTCTGTTTTTCTTATACTGTATGCCATAGGTCTACTATATTTGGTGTATGGAATGATTGTAAGGTGTACATGTCTAGCGGGCAGGTGTCATCTGACCTTGACCTTATTTTCATGGTTCAGTGGTCAAAGTTGAGTTTTTGAGTTTTGGTCTTTTTTTCTAATACTATGTGCAATAGTTCAACTATATTTGGTATGTGCGTACCTTGCAAGGTCCTCATGCCCGTCAGACAGTTTTCACTTGACCTCGACCTCATTTCATGGATCAATGAACAAGGTTAAGTTTTGGTGGTCAAGTCCATATCTCAGATACTATAAGCAATAGGTCTAGTATATTTGGTGTATGAAAGGACTGTAAGGTGTACATGTCCAACTGGCAGGTGTCATCTGACCTTGACCTCATTTTCATGGTTCAGTGGTTATAGTTAAGTTTTTGTGTTTTGGTCTGTTTTTCTTATACTATATGCAATAGTTCAACTATATTTGGTGTATGGAAATATTTTATGATCTATTTTGCAGTCACGCAGGTTTTATTTGACCTTGACCTCATTTTCAAGGTTCATTGCTCAGTGTTAAGTTTTTGTGTTTTGGTCTGTTTTTCTTAAACTATAAGCAATAGGTCAACTATATTTGTTGTATGGAAGAATTGTTAGCTGTACATGCCTGCCTAGCATGGTTCATCTGACCTTGACCTCATTTTCATGGTTCATTGGTCAATGTTTAGTTTACTTGGTTAATGTTAAGTTTATGTGACAGTTGTAATAAAGCTTTATATTTAGGACTATCAACATAATATCAATGATTAGTAAAGAAGGCGAGACATTTCAGCGTGTGCACTCTTGTTAATATTTGCTCTTTTTGGAGATAGTTGAACTTTGTCATTTTGGAGTATATACTCGCATAAGAGGTGCATAGAGTTTCCAAATAACTCCTCCTACAGTGAACCATAGATCTATGTGCTCCCATGCTCAACTTTGTGTATTTTTAAATAACACTTTGCATCTGCGGGAGCATCATTTGTGTCTCCCAGACAATAATATCTCAAAGAAAGTCCCACATTGACTTTGTTATAATACAGATACTTCAGAGTGGAGTGCGGGGGCATCACTTTGTCTAGTTTCTTTTAAGGTTTTGTGTTGAATTATTATTTAACTGTTTAATCATGTTTTAGAGATATAAGTTTTTTTTTATTGTTTTAAGATAAAGAGACATTCTAAAAACATAAACTGGTTTCCTTTAGTGTTTTATGAATAATGAATATTGTCATGCTGACCAAATGCTAAGTTCGTTCTAAGACTTGTAAAACAGTCAGGGGTACTACTTGTACAAGTAATCTTTATTTACTTGAAGAAGTAAATAAAATATACTTATATAAGTTAATTATAATGTTTAAATAATCTCCCCTTAATTTTCTAAAAAATTTACTTGTATAAGTAAATTTTTTTTACAATCCCACTAAAATTCTCAAGTTTTTCGATGTAAAATCATGCCTTTAACAATTTTTCTCAGGTTAGCTCATAATTTTTGATAAGAGTTCAATGTTTCATCTCATTAATTCAACAAAGAAACTGATTGCGCAAAGATCTTAAGTATTTGCGCAAGGCCTTCAAAAATTGCTCCTTGGGGGCTTGTAAATGAGCAGTGTTCTGAAGATAACAGACAAATGAGATTTTCATTGTCCATGAAATTACACTTAAATGATTAGTAAAGACATCTGCAAAGGACAGACAATTCAAAATTCTGTTAGAGCAAAGAAGTTCTAAGAATTCAAGAAAAGAAGATGGGATGACTTTTTTACTTGTATAAGTAAAAAAATCTGAATGTCTAAGGGACATAATTAGGCCAAAAAATAATTTCATTATACAAGTAAATAAAATACACTTATATAAGTATCCAACAAATTTACTTATATAAGTATATTAATATTTACTTCTTCAAGTAAATAAAAATTACTTGTACAAGTAGTACCCCTGACTGTAAAAGAAAAGGGAAGATGACATTGCCACGGCAACAACGAATAACACAAAAACTGGGCCACCAAGCTCATGTTTATTAGCCATGTGTAAAGAAGATTGAAGGTACCAACATATACATGTAATTATGCTTATTTGGTGTTGAACTATTACAGCTATCTGTATATATGAGCATTTATTTTCATGTGTATTAAAAGCTCACACAATCATTCAAATCATACACCATTACGAATTAAAAAAAGCCTTAAAATATTTAGGGCAACTACACTACAGCTATAGTAAAGGAATTTAGTTAGTGTCAAATGCTGCTTTTGCTAACTTTTTTTCTTTTTCTTTCAGATTCACCATGATTCAAAAATTCACATCGGTGGTTTTAAAAGACAAGGAGACAACATGGCTGATCCCAACCAGAAAAGAAGACCTGCATTTGGAGATATAACTAATGTATGAATAGTTAATTGTTCTTAATGGACTGGTACCTCTAGAGCTCACAGTTTTTAGGGCAGCACTAGTGTTTTTTTCCTAAGTTTCTATTGCTTTAAAAAGTTTAAACTGTCAAGAAATTGTGACAAATCCATTGTCAAGCAAATGGTCCATTCATGTACAACTTTCATCTCTACAATGCTCTAGTTATTCATTTCTCTCCACAAACATTTGTAGAAAAATCAGTCAATGATTTTATTTATCCCAAAGTATTTTGTTATGGCATGTAAAACCTCAAGCTTTAAGTTTGAAGTAAAGCAATATAGAGATGCAAATTAAATTTAACAAACTGCACATTCAAGGAAGAGTTAATAATGAATTTGCCCCTTTTTGGTGTAACACAATGATCACATGATGAAGTGTTCCTTTTAAATTCATTAATTGCTCTTATGAGTGTATGCACAAGGCTCATTTCTTTTTTGAAACTATTCCTCATGAGTCAGGCTCTACTTTTTTCAGCTCCTGGATGGAACACACACATGTATTTTTTCTTTACTTTAATCTTTTAATATAGTCTATCATAGAAAACAAAGGGTTGGTTAAGAAAGGAGAAGGAAAACAGAACATACCTGTGAAAGCTATGGTTGTGAACAAACTGAAGCAGACAAAGACAAAGAAACACAAGAAAGAAAATTTGGATGATGAAGTTATTCAGCTGTCTCAGGGTTCTGTAGTGTCAAGTTCACAAGAGAGGTATAAATATAAAAAGTTGACATTAGTTGAATCAATCAATATGCACAGTCATTAAACAGTTGATTCAAGAAGTCTTACATTTATTGAATGTGATTTATTCTTTTTTATGTTCTGTTATGATACAATAAAAAATTGATAAACATCAAACACTTTGGTCTTGTGGAAAGTTGTTTCATTAACAATCATACATGTACCACCTTTTCTTATTGTCTAGCCGAATGCAAGACATACTGATGCAAATACCATGGCAGCAACGACAACATAAACTATTGTATAAAGCATTTAAAATCAAGGTCATTACTTCAGCAAGTTATTTTTGATCCTGCCAAGTTAGGTCCATATTATCACTTCATGTTTTAAGATTGTGCAGAATTCTATGTTGATGGCATGTCATGAAACCATAGGTGTGTTTTATGACAAGTAAATGACTAGCTGAAAGTATATACACCATATTATTCATTTACTTTATGATTCAAAATAAGCGTTGGCCTGTGGCCTATAAATTTCTTGACCATCCAGTGGCAGTAGATTTTTGGGGACATCTACCTGCCAGGCTACTACATTTTCAGAAATTGTAATTCTGAAAATGGGACATATAATTAGTTTCACCTGTATTCTTGACAACTAAGATTGATCAGAACTACTTGTGATAGATCATTAATATTTTGTATGAAGTTGCATTACTATCAGTACATATCAGTTTGACGACAATTTTGAGGCCTGTCCCCTAGGCCATGGTCCAGTAACTTTGAATTAATTAGCCATTTTCAATATTAAGTTTTCTGCTTAAGTTAGTTTGATATGAACTACTTGTGATAGAACAATGATGTGTTTGTATGAAGTTGCAATACTATTAGTACATATAAGTTTGACTACTATTTTTAGGCCATGGTCTAGTGACTGTGAATTAATTAGCCATTTTCAATGTTAAGTTTTCTGCTTAAGTAAGTTTGATAGGAACTAATTGTGATAGAACAATGCTATTTTTGTATGAAGTTGCATTACTATTCATGCTATTAGTACATATAAGTTTGACGACTATTTTGAGGCCTGCCCCCTAGGCCATGGTCCAGTGACTGAATTAATTAGCAATTTTAAATGTTTAGTTTTCTGCTTAAGTTAGATTGATAGGAACTACTGGTGATAGATCAATGATATTTTGTGTGAAGTTGCATTGCTATCAGTACATATCAGTTTGACAATTATTTTGAGGCCCTGCTCCCTAGGTCATGGTCCAGTGACTTTCAACATAGACCAATGCCTACTAACTGGAAATGTAAGTAAATGGAATGCCAGAAGCGGATAAGGCAACTTCTGGTTTGTCAATTAAATGCAAATAAATAGACCTATCAACCCTATTTTTTTCAGCAGGTGGTAACTTTTTTGAAATGACATATTTTGAAAAAAACATCTTTTTATGCTACATAAACATACACATGCGCAGTCCCGGTTATGGATATTTCCATAAAATATACCTCTGTTAAAACCCTTAAAATTGGACAACACTGTTGGGGAATCCCATAATGAACCAATGAAATATGTTTTACAAATAAATAATCTTTCAACTCATACATTCCTTTTTGTGAAAGGGTTTCAAAGCAAATTTGAAACATGTATTCCAAATTGATTCCTGGTAATTGTTGTAAAAACTTAATTTTTGTTAAAAAACATTTTTTTTTTAGAAAGATCTGATTTTGCTAGGATTTCATTGAAGATGATGAAAATCTTTTTGTAGGTAAAGTTTACTTTTCCAAATTGATTTCCTGTGTCTTAATACATAAGTGCTTGGATTTTATCAAAACTTTACATTCCTTTATGAAAATAAAACTAAAACATACTAAAAACAGAACATTTTTTTTACAGCAATTCAACATCAGACTTATCAGATACAGAGATTGATGAGCAGTCCTTGACCTTTACTGTAGAAGATACTGAACCTGAGATAAATACACCAGAGGTATAATAGCGCATCATACATATTATAATTATACAAATTATGTGGATAACTATTGTAACCTCTCATTGTGCAAGTTACAATCAAAAGAGTTATATGTATATATAATCCAAGTCTTTGTAGTCAAAGATGAAACTTAAGAGTTTTGCTGTGGTTGCCACTTGAACAGCTGTTAGCATTAGTTTCGAATTCTGTTATTTTTCACATTTATAACTGGAAAAGGTTCATCATAAAAGTAACCAGTTGCAGTTATTAATTTGGTGTTTCAGGGTATGTAAATCAACTAGCTTTAGTTATATTCCAAATTCATGTTCAGTTTTCATCAGAAAAGCAATTTTATTGTTTTTTCTTTCAATGAGTATCTGATCTACAGACACCTGAGTATCCAAAATATGATATATGACACATTTATACTTCCAAAGAAACCAGTCAGGGGTACTACTTAAAACAAGTGATTTCAGAATCACTTCAAGTGAATTTATCAAATCACTAAAATTGGTGATAATGAAATCACTTGTTTAAGTAGTACCCCTGACTGGAAACAGTTGATTAAAAACTTGGGAAATATAAATGTAAAGAATGTATGTTTAACGTGGGTAGGATTCACTTTTCCACTAAAAAGTGGTATTTCTTGAAAATTTGTCCCAGAATTTTCATTAAGAATTATATTTTATTGCTGTTACTATTTCTGTTTTAATGATTAAAAACATTTTAAGGGAAGGGGGTCAGAAGGCACTTTTTATTAAACCCTGCTATGCATGAAATTTTAATTGATTATTTCATATAATTGTTAAGGCTTTCTGTCTAAAATAACCATTATCCATCAAACTTTTATCTAGAGCCTTCCCACCAGGGTTTCAAAAAAATATTTGAGCCATCCAGACATTTTTTGTCTATCCTGATTTTAATCCCTTAACACTTAGTACCAAACTACAATCATGGTAATCAGTTAGCAATATATTGAGACTAATTGATGTCTACTGATTATACAGTGTTCTCCCCAGGCCCTTAAAGGACTGCGGGCCCGCGATGTATAATTTTTTACCATGGTGGTATCGTTCTTTATACCGCGATGTATAATTTTTCTCCGTGGTGCTAAAATTTTCAGTTAAAAAATCGTAAATCGGTAAAGTTTTAAACGACTTGTTAAATCTTTTCCGTGCGGTATACAATTCCAGGTGAAATTTGACCAGTTCAAACCAGTTCAACACAGATTGTTTACACCACGTGATTGATTTACCTTATAAGGTTAACCTTGTTGATTGGATTTAATTGATGTAATTAACACTTGTAACATGATTCTTTTGTGTTTTATTTAAGAGTTCATAACTTTATGATCACAGATAACTATTTTATGGCTTCACTCTCCACCCAAGCACTGACCTGTGACAAGTCGGCAAATACTTTGTACACAAACAGTGTCTTGACCCGATAGGTACATTTTTTGTACATCATAATGGTGGCTCATTACGTATAATGGACAACTATACATTTCCCAATTCTTATATTATAGTATTATACGTGTCTGATTAAACCATGGCCAATATTATCTTTAATTATGACATAGTTATTGCATGATAGTCGGGTTTCAAACTGTAGTATCTGTCTGTACATATCACATGACCCAGTTAATTCACGTAGAATATTCAAGTTTATTTACAATTAATTGCAATCTATTATATTTTATAAATAAAATGCATGACTGTACCTTCAAACTGGATATCTATAATTCTATATCCATAATTAATGAATAACAGAAGTAATCTTGCAAATTTTATCCATAAGCACATGTTAAATCTATTTATATCTACTTCCTGTCATTTAGGTGGGAAAATAGGGAGACTTAGTTGTTGACATTGAATATGGTTACTTATAGATCTATAGACCAAAGATGAATTTATAGATTTAGGAATTCTTTTTAAATGGTTCGTGACAAATAAAGATTTAGATTTTAGGGCAGTGTTAAGTCTGTATCTATGTGTGATTATCAGCAAAGACAAGAAAGGTTAATATTTACATGAAATCTATGGCAAAATGTTCTAAAATTTATGAAAAATTTCTTTTTATTAAAATCTAAGATAGAAACTGGTTCATATAATAAAACAATATTTGCAATTGTTCTTGTTAATTTTATATCTTCTTATGATAGGAATCCTTTCACATACAACAACTTTTTTTCTAGAAACTAGAAAGTTTTTTAAATTGAACATTTTTGTTCTCTTTTGAATGATATTTTATTTTTATTGATTTTGGATTTTATAAAAGATTTAATTACTTTAAATTCAGATGAATATTTTATTATGAATCATAATTTATTTATTTTAAAAAAATATTAAAGTATACAAACTGTTTTTTTATTTACTTCTTTTTTTACCAATAATTTTCTGAATCAATGTCTACATAACACAGTACCACAGTGTTAAAACACAACAAGAGACATAAAACATACAGTAACTAGAGCTAAGCGACGCGACGCGACACAACTGATTGCATGAAATATTTCACCAAGAAGTCCACACTCGTTACCCTGGTGCTATCCAAAAATCCTGGGGAGAACACTGCTGATAAAACGAGTACAGTAACCCTGTTATACTTTCAGAACACCTAAGGGAGATAACTCTTTAAAAATCAGCTGAACATTTTAATCACATACTATTTTATTTGTAAAGAGAAATCAAGCTTCTCAATGATCAAAATTAGTTTTTGTCAAACGGCTATATATCCAATAAAAATATACTGGAAATTGTGTGGTTCAATTGCTGGAATATATTTGTATTTAACCACTGGTGTGTACTCAAAGGGTTTGGTTTGAAGAACGACATATCAGAAAAAACATAATTTTTATCAAAATTCTGTTGATAGATTTCAAGAATGCAATTTAAAGCGAAAAAATGCACATTCTTCACAAATTTTTAATTGATTGTATCCTAGAAATTATAAATGCTACCTATTTGTCTCGCTCATTGTCTTAAAGATTTTATATAACACCTACAACATATTGCAAAACTTAAAAAATGACAAATGAAACTGTCCTGACTACAGTTAAAAGCAGTTTCTATATATGAAAAAAAAAAAAACTTATTATGGACTGTTAGTAACACTAAATAAATTTTGGGTGTTTTTAGACTATTTATCTCAAAATTATGTATTTGAATGATTCAGAATGTGCATGGTGCAACTTAGATTACCTTAGTAACCTTAGGGTTTTGATTTCATTCTCTTTTCTTACCTAAATGTTCTCAACCTTTATTTGATAAACACTTTTTTGAAAGATGTAGAAAATTATTAGAAAGATATCATGCTTATTATATATGAGTTTATTGTGGTTTTTTTTCAGGGTGTTGACAATATTGACAGAGAAAACCTAAAAGACATAGCACAAGTGGCATTATATGCTCCATTTATCTTCAATTACTATAAGGAAAGAGAGGTATATAAGACATATCCAAACCATTTCTAGTGTTGTTACAGTGTTTTAGTTTGGCATGATTTCACCACTTAAGTATATTACCACAATACTGTCTGAAGGTTTGCAGCCGGATCAATTGATATCAAGTTTAGTTTCCTGCACTGACCTGTTCCAATTTTATCTCACCTTATTCAAATGGTCGGAGTGAAAAACTGAATTTAGATTTTAGATTTTGAGTAGACTAATGTATCCTGGATTCTGTAACTATTATTTCTTAAGATAACAAAGCGGCTGGGATTATGAAGTTACAACTGAAAGAGTAAATTCCAATCCTTGCGCTTTGGGTTTAATTATACCCCACGCAATTTATTGCTTCAGGTATTATGTTTTTGACCCGTTCGTCAGTCCTGTTCTTGTCATCGCAACTCCTCTGAAACCACACAACAGAATTTCATGAAACTTTGTAGGTAATAAGGACATACTATGTGCTCACAAAGGTTCTTTAATTATTGATATCATCTGTAATTCAGTCTTTTAGGAACATTTACTTTAAAACACAGAAAAATGATAAATTTTTCTACTAAGTGAATTTCTTTCCTGTTCAGCATACTTTCTATTTTCAGCTAAAGTTTATGGTACCTATGTACATGGACAATCAGCCTACACTAACAACAAACATGAGGTCTATTTTGGTGGATTGGTTGGTAGAAGTCCAGGAGAATTTTGAACTTAATCATGAAACCTTGTATCTAGCTGTCAAACTGGTGGATACATACCTTTCAAAACAGATTGTCACCAAAGAACTTCTACAACTTGTAGGAGCAACATCATTGTTCCTAGCTTGTAAATTTGATGTAAGAAACATATAAAAAGGAGTAGGCTTTAAATACTAAGTATTATATATTAAACACCTAATACATCTTAGTTCGATGATAATTTTGATGACTTCCCTCTGTATCATTGTCCAGCTGCTTTGAATTAATTAGCAATGTTGCTGTCCATCAGATTGTCTTTTTGTGAATTTTCTGCAGAGAGGTAAGACATATGTCAACAATTTATATTTTATAAGCAATAGGTCAACTATATTTGGTGTATGGAATGATTGTAAGGTATACATGTACGACTTGTAGGTTTCATCTGACTTTGACCTCTTTTTCATGGTTCATTGGTCAATATTGAGTTTTTGTGGTTTGGTCTGTTTCTCAGATACTATAAGCAATAGGTCAACTATATTTGTAGTGTTGAATGATTGTAAGGTGTACATGTCTTACTGGCAGGTTTCATCTGACCTTGACCTCATTTTCATGGTTCATTGTCCAGTATTCGGAAATAAGTCTGTTTCTCAGATACTTCAAGCAGTTGATTAACTATATTTGGTGTATGGTATGAAATTTAATCATGATTAGTAAAACAGGCAAGACATTTCAGTGTGTGCACTGTTGTTGTCTTTTACTTACACATCTGGAATACAAAACAACACCATTTTATTCCCTTCTACTCTGTATAAATACATGTTGGAACACCTTTGAATACAAGAAATTTGTTCCAAGAAAGAACTCAATTATTATTTTCCAAGGACTGAATATCTACTCAAGATATGTCTCCATCTTTCTGAATTTAGGACAAATAGGTTTATTAGGTTTTTGTCTCGCCTTGACGAAGTCAAAAAGCGAGACATAGGTATGCTGTTTCTGGCTCGGCGGCGTCAACAATGTATTAGTTTGTGATTAGGTCTAGTTTATGGTGAACCACTAGTGGTAGGTCAATGATATTTGGTATGCAGTTGTATAAGCATTGGCATATCTCATCTCCATGGAGATTATTTGCCCCCCCCCCCCTTTTCAGTCATGGTCTATTGACTTATTGACTGAAAATTTTTCTTAGTTTTCATGTATTAGTTTGTGATTAGATCAGTTTATTGGGAACCACTAGTGATATGTCAATGATATTTGGTATGCAGTTGTGTAAACATCATGGTCAATTGACTTTGAAACTTTTGCTTAGTTTACAAGTTAATGTTTGTGTTTAGGTTTCTTTAAAGGGAATGACTTATGAAAAGTCAATGGTATTTGGTATGCAGTTATATTATCTTTGGCACATCTCATTTCCATGGAGATTGTTTAGCCCTGTACCTTTAGTCGTGGTTCATTGACTTTGAATATTTGCATAGCTTACGTGTTAAAGTATTGTTATTTTCATTTCAACATTTGCATTATCAAAATTACAAATAGGCGAGACATATCTCTGTGTTAACAGTTTATTTGTTTTGCCTGCATTTCGACGCAGTATGCAAGACATAGGGATTACTACCCAGAGGCTGCCCCAGTGTAAACCATTTGTTTAAAGCTTTATATTTGTGAAGGTAGAAGACCTGGATGCTTCATACCTTGTATGCAGATACCTTATGTTACGAACTTTCCATCTGTCATATTCCCATTGTCCTTGACCTCATTTTCATGGTTCAGTGACTGCTTGAAAAAAAAAAGTTTTTTGTCATGTGAATTTCTTGCTTATTATGAGTAATAGGATTACAATATTTGGTAAATTAGTTCCTTGCAACGTCTACATGTCCATCAGACAGGGTTAACCTGACATCGACCTCATTTCATGGAGCAGTGATCAAGGTTAAAGTTGGGTGATTATGTTCTTTTCTCAGATACAATAAGCAGAAGGTCAACAGTATGTTGTGTATGAAATGATTGTAAGGGATACATGTCAGTCTGACCCGTTTCATCTGACTTTGACCTCATTTTCATGGTTCATTGGTCAATGTTAAGTTTTTGTGTTTTGGTCTGTTTTTTCGAGTACTATAAGCAATAATTCAACTATATTTGGTGTATGGAATGATTGTAAGGTGTACATATGGAACGCCATAACTGCCTTATAGGAAGAAACTACTATGACATAATACAAATGTGGTTTACATCATGTCAAAACACTGTTTCTTAATATGAATTCTCCATTACTTTATCTGAAATCTGTATCATTTGGTATGAAAACACTATTACATGATAAGAATACTTCATTACATGATGTGAATTCTTCATTACATGATGTGGTTACTTTACATGATTTGAAAACTTCATTACATGATTTGATAACTTCATAACATGATGTGATTACTTCATAATATGTGGTTACTTCATTACATGATGTGATTACTTCATAACATGATGTGTTTACTTCATTACATGATGTGATTACTTCATTACATGATGTGGTTGCTTCATTACATGATGTGTTTACTTCATAACATAATGTGTTTACTTCATTGCATGATGTGATTACTTCATTACATGATGTGTTTACTTCATTACATGATGTGTTTACTTCATTACATGATGTGATTACTTCATTACATAATGTGTTTACTTCATTACATGATGTAATTACTTCATTACATGATGTGTTTACTTCATTACATGATGTGATAACTTCAGAACATAATGTGATTACTTCATTACATGATGTGATTACTTCATTACATGATGTGATTACTTCATTACATGATGTGATAACTTCATAACATGATGTGGTAACTTCATAACATAATGTGGTAACTTCATTACATAATGTGGTAACTTCATTACATAATGTGGTAACTTCATTACATAATGTGGTTACTTCATCATGTGATGTGGTATTTTCATTTATACCTAATGTGAAAATTTCATTATTTACATTTTATAGCCATAAAAGTTGGGGGTAGAAAATAGAGATCAGAGGTGATTCTGGTATCATACTCTTTAAACCCTCTAGTGTATACTAATGAAAGCTGAAAAAGAAAATCAAAGTAAACCTTTAACAGGTTGTTTTTATTGATTAAAGCTCCTTCAATAACTGTCTTAGTCCTATGATGTTACACCAAAATATTTAGTTTTCTGTCTCATGCAAAAATGACCAAATCCCTCAAATTCTGGCTTAATCCTTGTTTTAGCCTACTTCAAAGAATCATATCCTTTAATAGCAGGAAGATTTTATGTGCATGCTTTAAACAAGATAATATTGACTATTGTTATATTTGTATAGGAACGATGTCCTCCATTGATAGAAGATTTCCTTTACATATGTGATGATGCTTACAACAGAAGAGAGTTCATCTTGCTGGAAATATCAATATTTAAAACTATAAATTATGACATTGGCATGCCCTTGTCATACAGATTTCTACGTAGATACTCAAAGGTTTGTGAATAGTTAAAATGGAATATCAAAGCCAATTATACAAACAATAACAGTGACAACAATACACTTTCTACTATACACGGGTGATTGACAAAACTAGACAGGTTCTTATTCCATCTAATCTTGACACGTTACATTTGTTAAGATTAGGTTGATTCAATATGTGGTCAGCATATTTCAAACTACTTTCTTTGTATACTGTATACCTTTAAAGTTGACCAGTTCTCATATGACCAAGGGTCTGGAAAAGGTCAGTTTTGCCAGACATGCCCTAAACTGAAAGGTCATCAGCTGAAATGGATATTTTTGTCATTTCATTGAGATCTGGTTTCTTAATTGCCATTTTGCACTTATTTTTTGTTATGAAATGCTTTTCCGATATTAAAACTGCTACTCCAGTATAGTATGATAATCATAATGGCCCTCCTAATTCCAGGCACTTTTTTTGCACCCATCATGCATTAATTTTAATGACCTACTTCCCCCACCATGCACAAAATAAAAGTTGTAAATATACCCACCATGCAGAAAATTAAATAAAAAAATGTTTAAGGTAGCTGGGGTGTCTGAATGCACAACAGTAGATTTTTCTTAAACTTCTGTAAAAGACTTCTGGGTCAATGTACTTTCAAATTTCAAAAAAAACTGAGCGGTCAGGACCTTGTTTTTTTGTTAAAATACATTGAAATTAACAGTTATTTCATATGCGTTATATAAAGGAAAACTTAATTTTTCCTTATTGAGGAAACATTAAACAATAAAATTGGTTAAAATTCAATGAGAGAACTGCTTTTCAATATACTAACAAAATATCAAATAAAATTGGGGGGTTACAGCCTAATTTTCTTGAAAGATAGAAAAACACAAATTGTCCTATCAAATTCAATATGATTATCTGCCCTTCATTTTGAAGTATTTTTTTTTTCCTGAACATTTTAGATACACTTAACTACACCTAATTGTTTGATAGCTTTAACTTTCAAGTTAAAGATGTTTCTGTTGTATATTGAATGATACTAGGTACACCCGATCTACCTTAATTCTAAAATGTTGCAGTTAATGAGTTTTATTTAATCTGATGGATTGTATACAATGTTACAACTAATTTTTGATATCTAATAAAGTTTCCTGCATGCAGGGTAGGATATGGTAACCCACAAGAGCAAAATATACTAATTAGTTTTTCAAGGGAGTCCTGCTTGCTCCAACTATAGTCTCTCTTGTTTTGTTTGTTTAAATGTCTGCAATATAAAAAAGTATGAGATAGATTAAATTATTTGGGTTCGGTTATACAGAAAAATAATTTTTGATTTTGGTACTCGATATCCCATGATAAAATATTAAAAATGGGCAGGGTGTTCCCTAGATTTAAAAAAAAATTCCAACCTACCTCATTTAAAAAAAAATTGCAGGGGTTCCCATAGTGAAAGTGCCTATACTATTCATCACCCTTCTACTAAGGGCTTCAAGAGTGGGCAAGGGAAGAATCAAGGTAAAGAGATTGGGGATGAAGCTCTCCTTATTCTAAAAGGACATCTTCAATAGAAAAAAAACATACATACCTTGAAGTTAATTTCAATATTTAAATTTTTCTAAGCCCAGACCTTTTCGTTGGTTAACTGGTACATCTCCCCCCCCCCCCTTTTTTTTTACCAGACAAAACATTCATCAGAACTCTAGTTCAAACCTATAAACATTTCTCTTTTTACCTATGATGACATCTTTTTGGTTTTCCTGGCCAAGTTCACTTGATAACATCCTACAACATCTGCCAAATTCCACTTTCATGCTGGCGGAAGTGATCATTTCCGTGGGTCAAGGGAGATAACTCAAGGACAATTACACTTCCGATAGACAGAATATTGCCTAAATGATTGAGTCTGGAACGCAAATATCTAATTTTATTTTATTTTTGAAACACCATCATAAAACATAATTTGAAACGTTTTCATGAATTTCCAATGAAGGAGAAACCCCACAATGCACAAAATTTAATTCAATTGTAATATGACCCACCATGGATAATTTTAAAATGATTTTGCACCCACAAGGTATGCAAATTTAACAGCACTGGCTTCTGACCTTCCCATACATCTAATTCTGGAACAGCCCTCAATTTTATTCAAACGCTTTGACAGGTAATAAAATTTAAAATGCAATGATTTCCTGCCATTTGATAAACACAAAGAATCCCATTAATGAATCTGGAATCACTCGTAATTTAGTATTAACTTGAAACTTTCTGTTTTTATTTTGTTGTCAAAATCAAAAGTAGTGTTGGTGATTCCTGAGAATTTTACAGTTTTAAGTCACTAAAATCATTTCAATTTTAAAATTGCATTCAAGAATGATTTATTGAATGCAAGTTTAAAATTGAAATGATTTTAGTGGCTTAAAACTGTAAAACCCTCAGTTTCTGGAAAATTGGTAAGAAACTTCATGACGTAAATGGGATGAAACCATCAACACAAGTTCGTTGATGCTGTGAAACTAGTATGAATAATTTCAGCAGTTTGAAAAAACAACCCAAACTTTCAAGTCATGTCAAAATGCCCGAAATTGTGTGAAAAAATCTCTAGTATCCTTGATTAGCAGTGTATAGTCTACAGAAAGACACGATCACTGACAAATATTATAAAAAATGCCCTATATGGATTGTTTTAGAACTTGATGTTTTATATTTTCAGTGTGCAAGAGCTTCCATGGAAACCCTAACCCTTGCAAGATTTATATTAGAAATGTCCCTGATGGAGTATGAGTTTATCAAGTACAGAGAATCCAAGATGGCTTGTGCCTGTTTACATCTGGCTCAGAAAATGAAAAAAAGTGGAGAATGGGTACATAACAAGTTATTTATATGACATATTTACTGATATACAAAATTAGTAACAACATAAAAATAATACCTAACAAAAGTAATAATTAATGTATTGCATATATATATAGAATAACCATACATTGTCACGAAATATAAATTTTATTTGTACAAGGCTTAGAAACAGGTAGAAAGCAAGGCATTGCCGAGCCGAGAACAAATAAAATTTATATTTCGAGACAATTTATGGTTATTCTTTATATACTGCAACTCCTACAACTGTTCCAAATGAAATATTTAGGGTAAAAACCATCATTTTATAATTTGGAGTGAACAACGTAAAATTCCCAGAACCTGTATTTTTTTGTTGGCCAAACCAAAAATTTTACAAAAATCTGTGACAAAGCCCATGTACTGTACCTTAACCTTAATGTTGATCATGGTAATAATAATGCATACAGATATTGAAATCAAAACTTAAATTACAGTTTTTTTTGTAGTTTTGGCAATGATAAAATCATCAAAAAAAAATTCTGAATTCTAAAAGTACAAGAGTTTGAATTTATTTATCAATTTATACATTGTTCTTATGTTCATAATAATAACAATTTGAAATGTTTTTACTCTAAAATACAATTTATTTTCAGACAAGCACATTAGAGTTTTACACTGGTTATAAAAATGAAGATATTCTACCTCTCATGAAAGAATTAAATCAGATGATTGCATCACCTCCTAAACATCTGAACACAATATTGTCTAAATATTCACACCAGTAAGTATCACTGTTAATTGTACAATGATTGACCAATGTATATAAATCTTACTACCAATTAACATGACATGCATAATAAAAATTATCACAGCTAAGTTGAACCTCAAAGGATGGATATAAGCAAACTTTGATATAGAAATGCAAATTATGTCTGTTAAAATGAAGACATTTAGATGATGTGTAAGTTTCCTTTGTCATGTTTGTGGTAATAGCTTTTTTGACAAAAACATAAAATAACTGACCTGAAATATAAAACAATTTTATATATGCATTGACTTGAATCTCAGTTTACATGTTCACTATTATGTGAAGTTTTTAAGATATGGGGAAAATTAAGCAATGGAAAACTACATATTTTTTTTCAACACCCTATTCTCTGTATGTAGTGTCAGTCATACAGAGATTAAGATACATTTTAAGAAATAATTTAATTCATCTTTACCCTTGTACAAAACCTTTTTAAAAAAGGAAAGAACTTGACATTTATTGAGACTGGAAAATAAAGCTTCAAACCATCATGTCACAGTTTGTATTTAACATTTCATGCATGTCCTTTACTGTGTGTGTAAGACAGATTTCTTTTATGACACTAAATCAATTTTGTTTGACAATGTTTGAGTAGATGTAGCAGTCAATGTCTAAATAGAATTTAAACATTAAAGGAGTGAAAATTGACATACATACAATTAATTTTCTGCTCAAACACTGTTACATTCAACATGTATGAACAAAATTACACACTGCAGGACCCAAAATATTTAAATTTATGTTTTTATTACATTGGTTACAATGAAAAACCATGATTTCCCAGTAAAATAGAAAAAAAAACCAATGATTTCACATGGGAAATAAATCCGATAATTTCACTCCTCTGACATGCATAATGTATGTACAACTTCCTAGGTCAAAGGTCAAGGTCAAAAACTGGTTTAAAATGACAACCCCATGTCCTATGGTAAAGATCGTGTCCGCTCTATATCTTGAGAACCGTTGTGATTTCAAAGTTTATACTTGACGTATATAAACCAACACCAGAGGGTGTGTCATAATGTATGTACATCTTCCTAGGTCAAAGGTCAAGGTCATAAACTTCGGTTACAGTTGACAACCCCATGTCCAATGATAAAGATACAAATTTTTTACCACACATTATTCACAGCGGGGCCCACAGAGATGGCTACCATCTCAATGATATCTAGTTACAATAAATATATCTCTTCTAGTATGAAAATTTACAATAATTATCTTTTATTTTTCAGTGTGTTTTATGAGGTAGCAAAGATAAAGGCATTAAGTTCAAGTGAATTCAGCTGAAGCTAGTTAAAGCATAGTAATATTTATGTTCTGGAATCTAAGCTTACATCACATCAACCATAAAGAGTCATCAAACTGTTGTACATTTTATCACATGTTGCATGGTGCTACTTAACATTATTACTGATCAAGTTTCAATTTTAGGAACACAGTTCATGTGTTAATTTTAATTTCTCAAATCATTACAACAAAAAGAAGGAGGTCCATGAATGCCAGAATTAGACCATTAAAATCAAAGCATTAAAATATAATTGCTTCACTTTCTAACTGCAATCAATTTGTGATCTATTGATGTTTATAATTGGATCAGAGCATGCAGCTTATTTTTTACAAGATCCAAAGCCCTTCTCCAAATTTTGTCTTAGGTTTTAGTTTTAGGTTACACATTTATGTCCTAGTGACTGATCAAATACATTTTAAACAACTTAATTTTATGTCAATCTAATAAATGAAAATTCCTGCCAAAAAGATTTGATATTTTATTGGTTTTCAGGACGCTTTATGAACCTACCTCCTTTTGTATATATTTAAGTTTTATCAGTATTGTAGAATGTTTTAACGAGGAAGACTCACAATATTTACTACAAATTTATATCACACTTTTTATTCAGTTAATCATTAGTTTTAACATTTTTTGTTCTTTTGTTTTATTCATTTTGAAAATTATTTTTAGAGGAAGATGAACCTTTTGTAGAGAGTTTAAAAAACTGAAAAATCATGAAAATTTTATTATAAAATCAGTGAGTATTCTGTTTTAATAATGATGAACAAATATTTGATTTAAAACAGGTTGTTTTTATATATCTACTTTGAAATAACTTGAAAGATTTTTTAGAATGTTTGAAACAAGCTGTTAAAATGAGAACATTTCATCATGAGATACAATTTATCTGACAGAAATAATCTATATAATATGGTTGTTGATATATATACTAGCTAATTGAATAAGATCAAACATCTTAAATTTAAAAGTAGCTGCATGAAAGCATTGATAAGAATAAGCTAGTCTCCTAGATTTTAAATTTGGTCTAATATATATTTATATACCTTTAGACATGTAATAAATTTTATAGATTTTTTTAATTTATTTATGTATATATATATATTAAGATTTTAAGAACATTCTGTAATTGATATAGGAGTTAGTCTTTATATGGTTATAATGGTCTTTTGACATCTTTTACCAGTCAAAGACCACGATTTCTTTTAATCAATTATAGAACTTTGTAAGGGTTTTAACATACTGTGAATTCATTAATATTCGTGGGATACCAATTTTTGTTGATTTTGTGGGTTAAGGTTAACCACGAATTTAGATGTTCAACGAAGTGCCAATTATCTATAGGATTGTATGCAGACTTTGGCATACCACGAATTCAAATATCCATGAATATACAATTTTTCCTCAATCCACAAAAAATTGGTACCCACGAAAATAAATGAATCAACAGTAGCTGGAAACAGACGGCTTCCAAGTCAATAAAACTGAAATATGGTTGTTATACATTTCATTCATAAGTTTAGTAAAAAGGTTTTACTGTTGTCCCAGAATAAACTTTGTACATACTAGGGAATAGTACTGTAATATACTGAAATAGAGAATATCACTCCTGTAACCCCTATCCTCTAAGAATTATGTCAGAAAAATTAATTGGTAGTTTTATTACATATTATAGTGTTGATTATCTATCTGTAACTCTTTCCTAATATCTTTGAACTTTCCATCCTTTTATAACTCTTCAATCCTCTCTCTCTGTTGTGTATTTTTGTAATACATATTTAACATGGTAATGTCAAATTGTTTGTGTTCATGTAGAGGCACAATTCATCTGCTTTCCAGTTTGTCATTAAAAAAGTATTGGAAATCTTTTATTTTAGTCATTTAACCTGTCCTAACATCATATTGTTTATAGAACCATCCTTGTGTTTATACTATTTGGTTTCAAGGAATAATTCTATATCTACCTCAAAAATAAATACTCTGTTATATATAGAAGTACACCATTATGTTTACATGAGATCAATATCATGTGGACATTAATAAAAACTATTGTTACCAAGGATCTTTGGTACATAGCATCTTATATTCCTTTCTATAATATACTTAGTGTTGCAATTTACTTGTAACATGATAAAAGTTTCTTTCATCTTTTTTAATCCATTGAACAGACAGTTGTAGTTAAATATAAAGATGTTGCTGATGATGCACTTTATTTACTTTTGTGGACATATTACACAAATCAGGCCAATTGAAACAGAAAATGACTGAACTTTATAATCCTTGATGTACCCAGTTTTGAATATTAATTTAATTATATAACCGAAAGTAAAAAAATATCAGCCCCATAATAACAGTGGTTTGAAACTGAGGCTTCCAAAGTAGCTTTCTGATATTCTATCATAAAGTATTTATGTCTGAAGTCAATCTCTCCTCTACTCTATTGATCCTGAAGTTTGTACATATTTGTTAATAAATGTTGTTTTATATATGCATTGTTGATTTGTATGATTATCACCTTGAAACATATTCACATATAATTAGACTTTTGAAAGATGTGAGACCATGGTATGTATATAATATTTACCAAACTTAACTCAACTCCCATTACAGAGTTATCTTGATTGTTTATAAAAAAATTAAGTATCACTGCTTTGGCTATCTAAATCTCAAACATTTATGGAGTTCTGATGTTCATTGCTTTACCAAAGGATTCTTGATTTCTACCATAATTTCAAAATTAGCAAACAAACAAGTGACTGGTATTCAGAAAGGGACAACCTGTGCTCCATTTATCACTGGTTTGTTCCTTAATGTTGGGAATCATTGTTTAGGGATTAACTTATTAAGACTCAACAAAATACCACATATTAGATATTATCACCAATATGGCAGAAATAGATAATTCTAAAAGTGTTGATATTTTTTTTGGAGATGAATTTCCTGAAACTTCTGAAGAGATACCAACCTTGGATAACAATATTTTTCAAGATGAAAAAATGTGCTAATTGGTATTTTAAAATCGTCTTTTTGTCGAGCCTGCGACTTTTGTCGCAGAAAGCTCGACATAGGGATAGTGATCTGGCGGCGTTAGCTAACTTCTTTAAAGCTTTATATTTTAGAAGGTGGAAGATCTGGATGCTTCATTCTTTGTATATGGATGCCTCATGTTACGAAGTTTCCATCAGTCACATGTCCAATGTCCTTGACCTCATTTTCATGGTTCAGTGACTACTTGAAAAAAAAGTTAAGGCGAAGTGTACGTAATTGCACGCCTCTAGCGGAATTTAGGATAAAAAACGTGCGTCGTTAGTTACGCGGGTTATCTCACCTACTCCAAGAAAGGAAAAATGGGCACATGAAAGAAAAATGACTTCGTGCGGTCTATCATGAATCCAAACAAGTATTCATGTGCTATCTCAAAACTTCAAAGAAATAATTAGAATGACTCCAATCAGAAATCTGAGTATCCTATTGTGAGTTAGTCTGACTTTAATACCACTGTTTTTGTTTTAGACACGCAGGAGCAGGTACACAATACGACTCGTGTTTTTTTCAACAGAAGGTAAACACGCATAAACAACAAAATTATAACCAAATAAACAAATAAACCAGTGACAATTCTGCTTCTATTCGTATCAAATTCATTAAAATCAAACCAGAATTGACCCCACAATATTTTTTGAAAAACCATAGTTTTGAAAGAAATCATCACAGTGTAGCGTAAAATTGTAGGTAACGAATAATTATAAATGCATGTGAATTTGTGTGTTGAACAAGAAAGACGTTGGCATGTCCGTTTTTATGCAATTGAAAATTTTATGATGTTTTATATTTTATTATTTATGTAAAAAGTATAAAAGATACTAAGGGGTAATCGACAACTTGTACAACATAATGAACATTTATAAGCCGAAGGCGAAGAAAAAGCCAACAGCAAAAAAAAAAACCATCAGATTCCGTCCACAAAACATTACACACTCAGAAACTAAGAATTGAGCACTATTACATTTATCTCAGAATAAGTAAAATATATGTCATCCAAATCTCAGTTTTCAAGGTGCAGAAAATAAACAGGTGTCTTCTATTCCGTCCGCAATTGTTGGGGAAAGTAAAATCTAAATTTAGAACCATGGTTGAAACTGAAACTACACATGTATGATAAAAATAGAACGTGTTATTTTTTTCTTTATCAAATTCCAATTTCGAAGGGATAGCGAAATATGTTTTCTTTTGTTGTGCTTTTGTGTATCATTCAGCAGTAGTATAAGGTAGGGGAAGAAGGGGTAGGGGTGAAGAAAATAAGGTCTACAATGTCGGGGCTTTTTATAACTGACTATACGATATGGATTTTTCTCATTGTTGAAGGCCGTATGGTTGCCTATAATAATTGCTTACATCCACATCATTTAAGGTAGCTGGGGTGTCTAAATGTTTGACGATAAATTTTTCTTAAACTTCTGTAAAAGACTTCTGGGTCAATGTTATTTCAAATTTCAATATAAAAACTGGGGATCACGGACCTTGTTTTTTCGTAATAACACATTGAAATTAACGAAATTTGGGTTATTTTATATTGTTAATATAGGGGAAACTTAAGTTTTCCTTATTGCGGAAACATTAAACGATAGAATTAGCTAAAATTCGATGAGAAAATTGCTTTTCATTAATAACTCCGAAATATCAAATAAAAATAGGGGGTCACGGGCCTTATTTTCTTGAAAAAATCCCCAAAAATTTTAAATATACTTTACGACACTTAATTTTTTGATAGTTCAATCTTTAAATTTCAAGTTTAAGTTTGAGGTATTTTGTTGTATATTAATGATACTTGGTAAAATATTTTTAAAACAAAAAAGTATTTTTTCAACATGATCAGAACGAACGCTCAGAAAAAGACACCCGATCTACCTTAAACTGTGGCAGATAGTTGTCTCATTTGAAATCATACCACATCTCCTTATTTTCATATTATATTAACAAAACTGCAATTCATTTGCATTATATACAGGGACAAGTTATATCAAAAACTCCGATCTGTTTTACTTTGCTAAAATCATATGCGGGTTCTTCTTTTGACCTTATTACAGCCATAAAAATTCTCAAGATAATATGCAGATGCAGTTTTCTTATTTTTTCATGTTTTTTGGGAGTCGTGCATGTGGATATTCAACAAATAATGGTACAAGAAATTATTTCCTTTTTGACTTAAAATCTCCAGCAAACATTATATTATGCTTTGTCGTGTAGTTAAAGAAAAGGGAAAGCGATCGAGACAGGAAATTTTTAAAATAAAATTGCAGAGTTGTGTCACGTGCACGTGTGTGAACCTGACAAATAAAATGGGTTTTGTGCCCAATACCTCGAATAGCGCCGGAAATGGTGAGGATGAAAAGATGCAGCAAATTATATACACTTTTTTAAAATACAAACATGCAGAATTAGATTTTAAAAAAGACGTGTATACGCGATCCCAATATTATAACCGATTATTAAAATACGTATAGAATCATTCTGTCAACGCTGTGTTAACCGGGACAATTTCAAACTTGATATTTGATTCATAATTATTAGAACAATACAATATAAAAATAAGAAGATGTGGTATGATTGCCAATGAGACAACTCTCCACAAGAGTCCAAATGACACAGAAATTAACAACTATAGGTCACCGTACTGCCTTCAAAAATGATCAAGGCCCATAGTCAGCTATAAATACAAGCATTTCAAAAAAGATGTGGAACCCTGTCTAATAAAGAAAAGATGGAGTTAAAGTCTATACAGTAACTTTCTTTCACTTGCAGTATATTTATTTTGCCAATTTGCTTTTTTTTTGGCAGCAGAATTTTCCTTAAAAAATACTCAGTTTATTTCCTTATCAATTGATTACGCTTGAGCATTTGCAATAATTAGGAAAATGGGTTATAAATAATTCGTAAATATAAATCAACATGTAGACATCTTATACGTTCAGGTATTTCTCATCCAATATTTTTTGGTAATATTCTTTACAAAGCACAAAAATGTCGGCATTCTCCTCAAAAGCTAACCACTTGAAACTTTAAACAGACTTATTCGGAAAGGATATAGTTACGATACTGTTGTCAGGTAATTAAGGATTGCATATTTTGGTATTAATATTGATTCACTCGTAGGGTCTTTGCATCGGAAATTAACACTATTATTCTAAAACCAGTTGTTGGCATGATACGGGTTATGTTCTTCTCATATATTTTATGATTGTATGATACTAAACCCCTAACGGGAGGGATTGTACTTGATTTTCATAATTTATGATGAAGACATAATCTTTCAATCAGTTTAATTGAGGTCTGGAGCTGGCATGTCAATAACTGCTAGTAGTCCTTTGTTAATGTATGTATCATTGTCTTTTTGTTTAGTTTCTTTTGTTACCTATTCTGACATCGGACTCAGGCTTCTTTTAAACTGAGTTATACTGTGCGTATTGCTATGTGTTTCTTTATTCTACATTGGCTAGAGGTATAGGGGGAGGGTTGAGATCTCACAAAACATGTTTAACCCCGCCGCATTTTTGCGCCTGTCCCAAGTCAGGAGCCTCTGGCCTTTGTTAGTCTTGTATATTTTTTTAATTTTAGTTCATTTATATGTTTTGGAGTTTAGTGTGACGTCCATTTTCACTGAACTAGTACACAATTTTATTTAGGGGCCAGCTGAGGACCACCTCCGGGTGCGGGATTTTCTCACTGCGTTGAAGACCCATTGGTGGCCTTCGGCTGTTGTCTGCTCTTTGGTCGGGTTGTTGTCTGCTCTTTGGTCGGGTTGTCTGCTCTTTGGTCGGGTTGTTGTCTCTTTGACATATTCCCCATTTCCATTCTCAATTTTATACACACTCACGATTTTGTTTCGACACTGTACGGTATAATAGCGTTATAGAGTTATATCTAGTAGAAATTGTGATGACGTTACAGTAGACATCAATAACGTCGCCGAATGTTTTTTATTCTTTCCGCTAAAAATCAAACTTCCACAGGATATAGCTTGAAAACTAGCACGGTTGCTAAGGACTTTCTTTGCACCAATGGGTTCGTCGTTCATTTTTGAATCGCATATCGATTTTTAAAAAAATTCTGTGGACCAACGAATTAGAAAATCTTGATAAAGTAAAAGTATCTGCCGATTTTTATGATTTTCCCTTTATATCCTTTGTATTTTTTGGCGTATCATGCTGTTAATTTCAACAGCTTGTATCTGAAAAACGAAAACGGTTACCCCTTTTTTTTATTTTATTGTCTGATGTATTTTTACAAGCAGAATCCACATGTAAAATTAAAAAAAATTCTGTGGAGTAGTTAATTACGTACACTTCGCCTTAAGATCTTTTGTAATGTTAAATTATCTCTTATTATAAGTAATAGGATAACTATATTTGGTATGTGCGTACCTTGCAAGGTCCTCATGCTTGTCAGACAGTTTTCACTTGACCTCGCCCACATTTCATGGATCAGT